TCTAAAACCTAATACACCGTAAACCCTAATAAATAATGCTGCAGTCCACCTCGTCGCAGCTGGCGATGCAAGCTAGCGCCACGCCTGAGCACAAGGAAGCTTCAACGTAGCTTCCTTGTGCTCGGGCGTGACGCTAGCATGCCTTACCTCTGTATACACTGATGGAGCCTTTGTATTTGCTTGTAGGTAACTTACCAAGGTCAAGCGCCATGGTCTGCCTGCAGGTAGCATATGATCCAGACCATGGTACATGCTCTGTAATATGTAGCTTGGTCGGCGTGCAGTTAGCGTAAAGACTTGCGGTAAGAGTTTCGCCAAAGCTCTTACCTTAAGTGGTCGTGCTAACTGGTCGCAGCATTGCCAATTGCGGCGAAGAGCACACCTACAAGTAGGCTGTAAAACGCTGGTTTCTGCACGACAGGCCCAGTAACACTGAAATTACTGAAACCTTTAGGTGAACCTTATCTTTGTACCAATGATAATGTTGCAACATATAGATCAGGGACAGGCTAACAATGAGCGCCAAAATCCGGGTGATCACGAATATTGTGCACATGCGGCTGCATTCATGACAGTAGTAAGGCAGTAGGGAGTCAAAAAAGGGTGCAGGCGCCATACCGTCGCAATTGCAGGTTGGATCAGGGGACAGTTTCCAGGGAGTCTCCGATTGGACCGGATCACAGATAGGGCGCGTGATACGCTCAACGAGAGGTTGGTCTAGGAAGGATTGATGTACCATGTTCATAGAAAATCGATGAGAACAAGGTTCTGGGGCAATATGGGCCGCAAGGCACGAATGTCCCTTCGGAGACTCACTGGAAACTGTCCCCTGACCCAACACGCAACTGCAGCAGTATGGCGCCTGAACCCTTGTAATGCCCCGGGGTTCACAGACCCAGTAACATTGAAATTACTGAAACCTGCAGACGCATCCTATAATTTATCAACGGTATTGACAATGTGACCTATAGATGTGCAATGAGCTGGTGAATGGCGTTGGAATCTCATTGATCAGAGAGATAGCGCACCCGTGGTGGCACTCCTGATAGTAGTATAACAAAGGGAAGACAAACAGCAAGATACACGGGTGGGACGCGCATTGCGTATAAAGAGAGATCATACTGAGGAGGACTGAATTTCAATGTTCATAAAAAATCAATGAGAACCATGTTCTCGGGCTACAGATCACAGATCCGCAGGTCACTTCGGAGACGCCCTGGAAACAGTCCCCAAATAAAGCCCGCGACTGCGGCGGTAAAGTCTCTTCACTCTCCTGACTGTAACGTGCTCTGCCTGCAGTTAGCGCAAGAGCCTCCACTTTGCCTTGCCTTGGTAGGTTGCGTGTAGGCAAATGCTAACGTTCTATAAGGTATTCTGAGGTAAACTATGCAGT